ATCATGCAAATATTGTATGCATTCCAACAACTCTTTAAATAACTGACACGAAATGTAATATTCAGACAAATTCATGGCCTCTTCGGGCGATCGGCGGCCAAACGCCGGGCCTTTCTGTTGGAGTACTTTCTGTAAACTGTGTTGACATAACTCCATCTCAATGAACACTATTTGACACCACTTTTCGGTGTTCATGTGCTTTACGTACAAATTTTCAAACCAGCATTCATGGTATTTGACTACATATTCTGAACGAACCTTAATTAAATTATTTATCTCGTTGTTTATTATTGTAACATCAGTATTCTCTAAAAATAGTTATAAAATTTGTACATAAATATATTAAATATTATACATTAAATGAAAATTATAGACTGTAACTTTACCATCGTATGCAATCATTTTAATTGCGTATTCATTATATTCTCGTTTATCTAAAACTTTATTAACAATGCCAAATGCTCCCGAACCCAATTTAGCCAGCTCATGAAAGTCCCTATGATATACAATATTACTGTGACTGTTGTCGCCTAAACAATAAATATAAAAATTTTATGAACATCGTTCAAATATTGATATACAGTGGGAACTCTATGCTGTGAACTACTCTATGTTATGATCTATAAACCAAAACATACACCACATAGACTTAATGTTAAAACAACCTCCATGTTGTGAACAACTCTTTGTTATGAACTAAAAGTCCTGGACTCAATCTATTCACAGCACAAAGTTCTGACTGTATTTTAATATCATACCGTGAGATGATTGTTTATTAATTAAATTATATATATTGATTATAAATCTCTCACATTTATTACGGAAATCTTCAATAGTGTTGTAATGATAATGTTTATAATCAGCTAGTTTAATTGTTTTATAAGTCAGTCTAAATGCATTCAAGCAGTAATCAAACAGAGTTGTATGATTTGAATTGCAAAACTCATTGTTTGAATCAATTGTCCATAATTTATTATCAATAATAACAGTCATTATACATGTATTATCATACATAGATGATATATCGTGAGCTGAACTTGCTAAGTGATGATTGTCATTGATTAATTCAACAGTTCGGGCAAACAAACCATCGCTATTATTATATTTACCACAAAAATATATGAAACCATTATTTGAAAGAAAATAACTTTCAGTTCTCGTCGAACACACGGTTTGAATGTTTGCTAAATTCATAATTAATTGCGGTTTCAATACATTTGGTGTTATATTGTGTCCCAAATTGAAGAAATGATTTAAACCCCAACTAAACACCTGTCCATCCGTTGTTATGGCAAACGAACTCATGCAACAACAATAAATGCTATTGATTATATAGCCATCATTATTATTAAATGTATCATGATGCGTGAAATTCAATATTTGCAGTATAGCCACACCATGCGCTACAGTATTGCAGCCCACCTGTCCAAATTGGTTAGAACCCCAACCGTATACCTGACCATCAGTGGTCAGCGCCAGCGAGTGATAGTAACCACAGCTTATTTCGCGTAAATCTTTGTCATTTAGAAATGCGATATTTACCGGAAGTGACATTTCAGTAAATATTGGTCGGGCTAACTGTCCAAATGCATTACATCCCCAGCCGTACACATGTCTGCTGGCATTGAATCCTATAATAAAATTTACGCCACAAATAAATTGTTGCATATTTTGCAGACATAGTTCTGGTATAATATGCGGTGTATTGACAGCCCTATTGTGTCCCAAACCGAGTGATCCGTAATAATTAGATCCCATGCCGTAAACCATATCATCGTTTGTCACAAACAATNTCCTATAATAAAATTTACGCCACAAATAAATTGTTGCATATTTTGCAGACATAGTTCTGGTATAATATGCGGTGTATTGACAGCCCTATTGTGTCCCAAACCGAGTGATCCGTAATAATTAGATCCCATGCCGTAAACCATATTATCGTTTGTCACAAACAATACATTATATCCATTGATGTCATCAAAAACGTGAAATAATTTAATTTTATTGATAATCGTTATATCACTTTTGAAAAGATTTCCTAAATCTAGATCCATTTTTGATTTCATTCATTAAATATTAAAAATTGTACTAATTTTTTAACATTATTAACTATTAATCAAAATTTAATTTTATTGATAATCGTTATATCACTTTTGAAAAGATTTCCTAAATCTAGATCCATTTTTGATTTCATTCATTAAATATTAAAAATTGTACTAATTTTTTAACATTATTAACTATTAATCACGTATTTATAAAAATTTTAATTAATTAAGATTATTAGTTATTTAACAATCTTATAATAAGATAACAAGTAATTACTTATAATACAATTTACTTGATGTACAATAAAAATTTACTTTATTTTCTCTCATTTGCCAAAAACTGAGAGATATTAACATATTGTGTGTCGAGTCAAAAGTCCATTAATTGTTTGTTTAATTAAAATATTTAAGACGTGTTTATTAGAGACACCAATAGTATAAACACACGCTTTAACTCATGCGTAGAGATATCACTTACAAATGTCCCAAAACTAACTTTTTATTTTAAAAACCATAAAAAAGTTAACAAGAAAATATAAATCCACTGACAAATGACTTGTGAGTTTGATTATCTTGAGCTCATTTTGTAATAATTTTTATTCTCTGACCACAAAACATTTATAGAATTCATTTATATTACAATAAAATACTTCGGTGTGTTTAACAAAATGTTCATTGTTAAAATATCTGCCATTATCGGTTACTATGATATTATTTGTTATATCATATAATAAAGTATTTATTATAGTATTATATCTAATGAAAACTGTATTACATTTTGACGTGAAATAACTGCCACATAAAATTATATTGTGTTTTTAAAATAATAAGATGACATTTATATAAAGTATACTTTACTTTATATGTTTTACGTTTATTGTTTTAAAAATTTAAGTTATATATAATAAATCTGAACTAATGTCTAAAATATATCCAAAGGATAGTTTTGACAGATTTGGTGACGATTTATGCGAAGAGTTGTTGTCTTTCCTCACATTTGAAGACCGATTCCGTTGTGAATGTCTATCAAAACAGTGGCGAAGACTTGTATTCAATACACAAACACTCATTTATTACTCTCACGGGAGAGACCATTCCGGACACAACACTAATTGGTGTCAAAAACTATCAACAGTTGTGTTAGTACTGGATAAATGTGAAAATATCACACATTTTAGTGCAATGGGAGGACTTTACAGGTATGTAACGGATCAAGAGCTGGATTTAATTGTAAAAATATGGCGTTGTTGTAAATGTAAATGTAAATGTAAAAATGTGTAAAAAAGTTACTTTATATTAATTGTATGTTTACTTTTCATTTTATTGATAACAGCGAACACATGATAATAGTCGACAAATTGATTAATTACTATAGAAATACAATGAAATCAATTGAGTTAGGGATCGACAACTCGTTTAATGAAAAATCAATTGAAGTACTAATGAAAGGCATATCAGGAATGAAAGAAATGCGAAATATTTACTTTTCATTTTACTTATCTGACACTCATTTGAATGAATACTCATTGAATGAAATGAAACAAATTGGTGTCAATTGTTGTAAACTACGGGAACTGAATCTTCACATGTATTACAATCCCTCGTATATAATGTCCGATATTATTAACAAATACTTTAATCAAATACAACGACTGGAGTTGTGGTCAAATCTTTTTGGACATCACATTACATGTGAATTACTAAATAAATGCAAACAATTAACGAGTTTGCGAATAGGTTTTGGCCATGATGACTTTATTAGTCCAGATTTTTTCACTGATATCGATAAACATTTGCCACAAATCAGAAATCTTGACATACATTCCGCTGTTGTCAATGAAGAGGCCGTCAATTGTTTGTGTAAATTAAAACATTTGAGATATGTTTTCATTCATACGGATAGTATGGACGCAGAGTTTCACTATTTATGCGAACAATTGTTGCTTAAAAGTTGCCCCAAACTGACCGATAAATCATGTGCTATTCAGGACTATATTTAATAGATTTATTTAAATTCTACATAGAGACAACGTCGCTATTTTAGTTGCCTTATACACTTGCCACCTTTTCAAAGCATGCATTATCAAGATGCAATTTTATAATGAACACATAATGTGTGAATAATGTTAACTTTATAAATATAAAACAACTATAATTATTAAAATTACTTACAAATTGTTGGAAATAGAGGGTTTTAACAGAGAAGTTGCACTAATTACTGTATGTACTAATATTATTTTATATATAAGCTATTGGACTTATTGCATTAATTTAATTTATCCCTTAAGTCGCCAGAGCTTATTATGACGTGTGTTTAATAAAAGTTTTATTACAATTTGTCCAATAAGAAAACTGTCCAGTTTTGTTAATGAGAAGGTCATCAAATGAGCTTGGTTGATTTTTCAAATTTCCCAATCATATTTGAATCATAATGGATTTTGATCTCTATTGGCTTGTGCCTCAGGCACTTAAAAATTTATTATGAGTTATAAACATAAAAAAGTATTGTCCCATTAAAATAACATTAATATAATTTGCTGTTTCTGTGTTTAATACACCTGAAATAACACTGAAATCTTGTCTTTATTAATAACCAAATTGTAATTATTTATAAAGTTTCTAATAAAAAGTCTGGTGGCAAATATGGTTTTAAATTTAATTTAAATAAATGTAAATATAAAAATGTTTGCAGTGTATATCAATTGATATAAAGTGTTTATAAATTAATTAAAATAATTGTTTGATTAAATCTAGATAACAATTCCTTAATTCAAAATGTTTTTCATAAAATATACATTATTGTTTACTATGATAAACATAGTTAAAACAAACCAAACGAACAGGTATTACACATTAATATATGTTTAATTTTATTTATTAATTTTAGCAATGGCAATTAATAATTATTTAAAATTAGTGTTATCTCTGAAACATCACAAGTTCCTAACAATAGGTCCATAAGTAATATCTCTACAGATAGTTCAATAAGTCCTGTCACTACTAATCGTCCCATAAGTATTAGTACTAATACTTTGGGCAAAACATTAAGTGATCGACTGTTGGAGCCGTTGATGGAGTCATTGCCGAAACTGTTTGTCGAGGTTTACGTCCAGGAAATACTAATGACGGGAGAAATGAGTGCCGAAAACATACGATACGGACAGAAGTACTGGAAGAGAACCAAACACGTGATGCTCAGTGAGTAGTGATTAAGCAAATTATAATTTTGAGTTTTGGTCTAAGATTTTATTTAACCATTTAACCATGATCTTATATTTGCCACCATTTAATACCTAGCGCGTTTCGAAATGCTAAAGCGTGCGCTAACTGTGACCATCAATGATAACGAGCGCCACTATTTGAGTCTAGTTGTGTTAGGATTGGGACGAAAACTGAACAATTATTTGGACAATTTTGAACACCTATTGGGCGGCATTGAGGACGACATACTGATCTACGCGCCCACCGATACCCTCATCGATAATCATCTCGTGTTTTGGCGTGAAATGAAACGTGATTCATTCGTACGCATGATGGCCACCGATTTAGTGCCCGCGTGGCATATATTACAGCTCCGGGAGTACCTAAAACGTCAGCCCCAATACAAGCCGAGCCCGTTGTCTGACTTTATATTGTATACGGACTTTAATATTGAGGGAATGTTTGACTTTTACAAGAGTGTCATTGACTCACACGCGGCAAATATGACGGCCGCCGAAGAGCGTGAGCTTTTCCAATTGATTCGTGAAATGAATGAACTCGATCTTAAATTTCATATAAGTAAGCAATTGTTATATTTATGCGTATGTATGCGATATTTTGTGTGATAGTTTTATACAAATAATTTTGAATTAGATGAGGCAGAGTATTGCATACATATTGTCAAGTAATATACTTTACACTGTATACTACATACACTACTGTATATACGGTATTATATACTGTATGATTACCACAATTAATTGATAATAATAAAGTTAAAATGTGCACATATTTTGATATCCAGTGCCTATCCTTCCAAATGACAAGACATTATGCGATCGAGTGTTTGACTCATTAGAGGACGCGATGGCGAAGATGTATAAAACAGATTACGTCCAAAAAATACTAATGAACGCAACGATGACTGACCATAACATACAGTTTGGCCGCAACTATTGGAAGCGATATAAAGAATTTCTTATGAGTGAGTAGTATATAAATACACATTTGTATGGTGGAGATGGGGGTGAAGTGTATTTAGGATAAAATACCACTATTATAATTAAATATAAATTAAACCATAAATCATCTCTCTCTCTCTCTCTCTCTCTCTCTCTCTCTCTCTCTCCAATACAGGCCACGTTGAGGTATTGAAAAAAGTTACCTCGATGAATATTTATTAAATACAAAGTTGTTACCACTAATTAGACAATGCTACATAGCATCAATAAATCTACCATCCACCTCTTTTACTTCTTTGACTAATTGGATCAGCTCTCTCTCTCCAATACAGGCCACGTTGAGGTATTGAAAAAAGTTACCTCGATGATCACTGATAATAAACAGCGTACATCTCTGGACGGTTTTATCAAAAAATTGATGGCCGATTTGGCCGAGTATTTCGCAAAGTTTGAACAACTATTGGGCGGCGTTCCCGAAGAGGTGCGCCTCCGGCCGATGGACGAGTCGGCCATTGATTTTCAGTTAATATTTTATCGCGAAATGAAACGTGGTAGTTTGGTACGCATGATGTCGGTGAATATGGTGTCCGTATGGCGAAACCTACACCTACGAGAGTACGTCAAACTACAGCCCCAGTATCGGCCCCAACCCTTGTCTAATATGATTCTGTTAATGGATATTAATATGAAACGCGTGGCCACTATGTATAAGAATGTCATCGATAGCCATAGTGTCAATATAACGGCCGCCCAAGAGCTCGAGCTGATCCAATTAGTCAAAGAAGTAAAAGAGGTGGATGGTAGATTTATTGATGCTATGTAGCATTGTCTAATTAGTGGTAACAACTTTGTATTTAATAAATAAATGTTATGCTACTATTAATGTATAATTAAACTCAATATTCAGCGCTTATAATTAAAAACGATATTTACATTCTTTATGTAAAGAATATAATTAATTTTACATTTAATTAAATTTATGCGTTCAGTACACGACAGAGTGATAGCCAACATTAGAGTAACCAACAGTCCCAATTTTCCACATTTTGTCCAGCGTAACGTCTCGATTAAATTTTCCAGCATTAAAAATTATTTGTTTGATAATATGCACTAACAAGTAAGAATATAATAATTTTGGTGCAATTTTTAAAAAAATTGTTCCTACTGATACATTTTTAAAAATTCCAAAATCAAGATCAATTATCCAATTTATATGAAACTGGATTTCTGTGTTTACAATGTTAACTTAAATAATTATACTATTTTTAAAAATCCTAACCATATCATAAGTACCTTAGGCCATGTTTCTATTAGCACTTAAGTATTTCACACTCCAAACTGGAGTATAGATAGGAACAGTTACAGTAAGTGCACTCGAAAATCACTTGGAATTCAAGGCATACTCAGCATTTCAAGTGTGCACTCAGAGACCGGTTTTGGTCACATAATTAATGAATTGGTGCTGATTATGACCACGTAATTACTGGACTGGTGTTGCTTTCATTGACTGGTCAGTGAAACAAAAACACTGACCACATGTCAAACTGGTTTCGACACAATAAAGTATAAGTATAGGGATAGGAACGCACTTCACTTAAAACGTGCTTTATTTTGAGTGGACTGTAAATACTTAAGTGTTAATAGAAACAAACCCTTAGGGCACTAGGCTTTCAAGTTAACTAATAATTTGTTCTAATTTGTTCAATAGTTAACAGTGTTTGTATTATATTAACTTAAATATTTACAATTATGAAATTTTTAAATTAATGTACTGCATAATTAATTAAATAAGTTAACAGAATAATTAAGATTTAAGTTTGTAATTTATGAGTATAGATCAGTAACAGCCAAACGCTCAAATAATTAGACGTGATTTTTTGTTTAAACTTGGCAATCTTTGCAAACTAACCATTAAAAATGTGACGCTTTTTAGATTATAATATACCCTTTAATTAATATTTAAGTATAACCACAATCTCATCACCTATTATTCATGTAACAGCATCTATGAGTCATCATAAATGTTAGCATAGAATAGCAGTAATTATAATGCATTAGTGCGACATGAATGCAACCTGTGGAAGTACCTGGCATAGATTATAAATTAAATCAAGTTTAGTAAAAAATATTATTCACATAACGTCATAAATAACAATATATTGACTTGTAATACTAAAATACACGCGTTTCAACATTTGTTTTGTAAATAAATGCAAAATGTTAAAAAAATTTCCTGAAAATTGTAACAATTTTTAAAGTTTTATGTTGGTCACTCTAGCTAACATAGTGAAATTAAAATTGCGCAATTTTTTTTAAATAAAAATCTATAAATAAAATCTGGAATATAATTTAATTTAGATAATTGTTAATTATAAAATGGTTGTAGTTTTTTAGTTCATTATATTTCACAAAGATCTAATTTATTTTATTAACAAACTAATTTAGTTCGATGATCATGGAATTAAGTTTTACAAAGAGTATTTTATATATAATAACAAATAAAAATATTTGAACCATAAAACAAACCAAACCAACAGGTATTACACATTACTATATGTTTAATTTTAATTGAGTATTTTAAATTAATTAATTTATGTTTATTAATTTTG